AGGTGATCACTTTACATTAAGGTACACTTTAACACAAAGTTATTAGCGTTTATAAATAATTAATTTATGGTTCATTACATTAAGGTTCACAGGTAATATTGGAATTAAAATTTTCAATATTAATATCTCATCAAGTCATGGTTGTGCTTTTATGATTTTCCTCTCAAAATAAAAATCAAGATGATAATTTAATCTTGATAAACAAAATATATCGGTTTCTAATCACTGCTGTGGTAGGCATCATGAACTTTTGCGGAGAATCATGGGTAAGGTACAGAGTAGATTCTGGTAAGAAACATTGTAGGGAAAGTGACACGAGTCATGAGATATAAATGAGAAAACCATAAATACAACATCCTTCAGTCTACCTTTTTGCTGCATCTTGAATAAAATGAGGACTCTGGTTTTGAGTGAAATAAGTATTTATAAATATATTTGTTAAAGGGATAGTTCACCCAAACATGAAAATTCTGTCATCATTTACTCACCCTAATCATGTCATTCTAAACCTGTATGAGTTGCTTTCTTATGTTGAACATAAAAGAAGATATTTTGAAGATTGCTGGTAATCAAACAGTTGGTGGTTGCTATTGATTTCCATAGTATTTTTTTCCCCTTTATTCTTTCAAAATATCTTCTATGTGTATACATTTTATGATCTTTCATATGCATCATTACATTATTCAAGTAAGCTCCAAGCCAATTCCTGCATTTAAAGTTGTAATCCGACAAAGGACGCAGCAAACCAGTGTAACTTACCTGGCCTTGGTCTTGGCTAAGCCTGAGGTACATCACTGTATCCTCCATTATGACGTAAAACATAAAACCAAAAATGAGCAATTCTGGCTCCACCTATCCTGGCAGGATTGTCCTCTCATCAGCTCTCCTCTCACACAGTTGCTATGCGACAGAGCGCTAATTGGGAACCTCTGGTGTCGCAATTAGGAAATCCTGCGAAGGCGGAGCATCCTTCATGCACTTCGGAGGCAACTCATGTCATTCGCTGTTCTTCTGCTTGCGGCCAGTTATTAAAAAGCGTTGCATTGCTGCGGGCGCCCCCTTCTGGATTGGGGGTGAATTGCCTGTATTCGTTGTAAGGCCTCATGCACCAAACCGAGATGTCCGTACCATGACGGTTCGGTATGAATACATGTATCGTACCACCCCTAGTAATAATAAATTATAATAAAGTATGATATTTTTGTATTTTAATGTTTGGTCTTATCTTTGTTACAGCAATTGATGCTTGAACTGTTCCAAACTCACAATCTTGATACAATATAATTGAAGCTGGCACAGGTATTGCAGAATTAATAATAGTAATATTAATATATAATAATCTATTCTAGGTAACTTTGAGCTGGAACTGGATGACAGAGAGCTAATACTGTTAAACTGGTCAATTATTTAAGGTTAAACTCTTAAAATAATGAATTTACCACTGCAAAATGTATACACGCACACACAAATATTTAGGACAGCCTACAGCCTTGACAGGGCTATTATGGAGAATATTATTCAGTTGCATTTCTTAATCTCATTGGCTGCTAGTTTTGCATTCAAACGATTTTACTTTTTTATTGATTTAAAAAAAAAATTTTTTATAAACGATCATTTGAGGCGTCTTCAACACTAATTGGTTCATAACACCACAGAGCCTAATTAGCATAGCATGTGAGCTACATAATACAGTACTTCAAATGTACTTTCACTGCATTTCCTTGCATCTCCAAATAATTCTTGGTTTATTACAAAATGGCTATAACTTTCTGATTAATACTAAATGTAGTAAATTCATTTAGACAAGGGTTATGTTTATATTGCATTACAGTTAAAAATAATTCCACAATTCCTACTGCATTCGTTTTCTTTTGTGTTCTAGAGAAGATATCAACATATATTGTCTCCGCTATTAAAGGGGTCATATGATGTTGCTAAAAAGAACATTATGTTGTGTATTTGGTGTAATGAAATGTGTTTATGCGGTTTAAAGTTCAAAAAACACATTATTTTCCACATACTGTACATTATTGTTTCTCCTCTATGCCCCGCCTTTCTGAAACGTGTCGATTTTTACAAAGCTCATCGGTCTGAAAAGCGAGATGTGCTGTGATTGGCCAGCTATCCAGTGCGTTGTGATTGGCCGACTTTGGATTTGAGACTTTAGTATTTGCAACTTTACAGATCTTCTTTATGCACCAAGAGCTTGTAACACTCCAAAGAGAAAGGAACAATTGAAATCACATCATATGACCCCTTTAACATGATTTATGGATGTACGCAGAACTGTAATGATCCCTGAGGTATTGTACATCATCAAAAGCATTAGAAATGGCTTTTTTAAGGATTTGGCTACAATGAAATGTTTCGTGTCTTTTTTCTTTATTGTGGGACATAGACATTAATCATGTGACCAGACCGCAAGATCAGTATATAGCATAATAAAAATGCAAAGTGATATTCAACTTATTAAAGAACATGTATATGTGGAACTGTAATTGAATATGTTCAAGAGCAGTTGTAAAGACTACAAAGCATTACGAAAATCCCAAGAGAAGCTGTATGCATTGATTTGAGTAAGGAGCATTCAGGAAGCACTCAGTGCTGGCGGCTCTGGATAGATTTTCTTCAGCTTCTCCGTGATAGACAAATACTGCTGGTTCCTCTCCTCCTCAGAGAGCGAAGATGGATTGATCTCCAGGAATTTATATGCATCTCTAGACTGAACACTGAAGACGCCTTCAGCTCTCTGACAGCACATACCAAATCTCTTCCAGTACTGAAAGATAAAAGGCATGCCACCATTAATCACATTTATTCAAATATATTTGATAAATTATATGGACATAATTGGACTAGTTTCAACTTCAATAATGAGCTGCACTGATACCTACAATGATACATGGGGGGGGGGGGGGGGGGGAAAAAAAAAAAAAAAAACAAAAAATTTTTC